TTGCTCAGGCTGGTCTCGAACTCCTGAGCTCAAACAATCCGCCCGCCTCGGCCTCCCAGAGTGCTAGGATTATAGGCGTGAGCCACCGCGCCCGGCCTAGTTTCTTCATCTATAAAATAGGTAGGTACACAGTTATTCATTCCTCAAAGATTGTTATAGATTAAATATAAATACGATAAAAATAGACATAAGAGTTAAATGTAAAAAAGAAAACAAAAAAAAGACAAATTAGTAACCACTAGAATTTTAAATGTAATACCCTTAGAATAACCCAGAAATTCCACTTCTCAGTCTCTATCACAAGACAGAACTAGCTAGTGTGCATTAACAGACATTATAGCTGTGTTTATAAATGAAATACTGGAAACAACCTAAATGTCCAGCAATATGTCAATGGTTAAATAAACTATGGCAATGTTTCCCAAAATTGAAAAATCACCTGGAGTATTTGTTTAAAAAAATCTAAATCCTAAGCTCTAACCCAGACATTTTGAATTAGTTTCTGGAGGACAAGCCTGATAATCTATATATGGAATACAATGCAGCAGTTAAAACACATGAGGTGGAAATATGCATACTAATATGGAAAACATACTGAGAACAGAAAGATTTTTTTAAAAAAAGAAAATAATGCCTACAATATAATACTACTTATGTTTTTGTAAAACCATACAATACAAAAAAGTAAATATTTCTATTTATTAAATTTGTAAGTACATAGAAAAGTAAAGCTACATACACACCATTATAATGAAGTTTCCTCTGGAGATAGAACTGGAATTGGTCAAAAGAGGCCAAGGAGGAATTTTGTTTCAGCAATGTCAGAATGATAGATATATGAGAGCCAGACTTTTCACTATACACCTTTTCTTTTTGTTAATCTTTTTGCATGTTATGAAACATTTACTTATTAATGTATATTATGAAAAATTTCACACATGCATAAAAGAAGATGGAATATTATAATGAACCCCTAAGAACTCATCACCCAGCTTCAATAGGTGTCTACATATAGCTAGCATTTTTTTATATATACCTCCATCCACTTTCCTACCACCACCACTAGGTTAATTCAAAGCAAATACTGACTTTCTTATCTTTTATATGTGTATATTTTTATCTGTGTACATCTTTATATTGTGTTTTTTTAAACCATGAGAATGATCACTTTATAAAAAATTAAATTTTAAAAAATGAACAAAATTAAAAGGCTTATCAATAAAGCAATGAGGTGGGGGAGGGGAGGTAAAAAAATTAAAAAAAAAATAAAGCAATGAGGAAAAAACTGCAGTGTGAGTACAAAGAGCTAATATCCTTTATAGATAAAGAGCTCTTTCAATTAATAAAAAAGGCCAAAAAAAGGCTAAAATATTAATATAAAGAAGAAATAACAGTAGCCAATAAATATATTAAAATGTTCAATCTAACAAGAAATTAAAATGGGAATCTTTTTTTACCTGTCAATTTGGATAATATTACATAAAATAGCACAGGAAAGTATACAATATCAAACACTCCTATGGAATATAAAGTGGTTCAACCTTTCTGGATGGCAGAATGAAAATATGAATACAAGGTCTTAAAAATGAGCATGTTACTTTTGCTCCAATCATTCCATTTTTAGGAAGCTGTCCTAAGGAAATACTCAGAATGGTAAAATGCACATAGAGTAGTCACCACAGTACTACTGATAACAGCAAAAATTAGAAATAAAATATCCAACAATAGGGGCTTGGGTTAAGCATACCATATCTATAAAATGGAATGCTATGTAGCAAATTAATATAAGAATATCTGTTAACACGACAAAAGGTTCATAAGTGAAAAATCCAAGTACAAAAACATTACATACATTTTGATAGTGTGATTTAACATCTTCCTGAACAACTGAATCACCTGAGGTGGTTCAGGTGAAAGGTAGCCTATTTAAGTGGATTTTTAACACTGATAAATCATTTGTTTTAGAAGCAGCTCTTTTCTAGAAGTGTTATTTACTGTGGTTTTCCTTTTATTAGATATTCAATGTCATTTATACTGTTTATTCTTCTGATTTCTATTTCCTATGAGACCTTGATTTCACCAACTGTATTAGGCTGATTTTGCAGGCTTTGTCACTTCAAGAATGTCATCCCCATGGCTGATGACAGATGAGTTTAAACATAAAGTGTATACCATTTAGTCTTCCTTACTAAAGTTTCTCTCCCCTCTAACCCATGTAGCACAAAGTTTCTTTGCCTAAGTTACAACCTAAACAACCTTGTTAGCCTAACATCAAGTTCATCCATATAGTCTGACCCCAATTTACCTTCCAATTGTAAAATGTGCTCTACTCAAAAATTAACCCTCTTCTCCAAGCATTTTCACTCTTGCTTCTATAGTTTTGCTCAAAGTATTCTTTAACTCGAAGTACCTTCCTTGACTCGCTAACCCCCACCATAATACTATTTGTTTATCTAAACTGTTTTTCTTCTTCTTTTTTTATTTTTAAGGCTAGTCAAGTGAAGTAGTGGGAGTGGAGAAGGAACAAAGAAAATCTGTGACTGGTTGTGAACAATTAGTTGTAAACACCACTGTACTCAGACCAGCCCTATCCTCATTCTTTAAAACAGTACTCAGGTCCCATCTCTTCAACATCTTTCCTGAACTTTTAACAGCATTCATTTATACATCATTCATCTGCATACAACCATATTATTTAACTTTTCATATATCTGTCTCATTTCCCCATGCAGCTGACAACCACTTTAAAGGTGGGCCCCTCAACTTATATACCTTTGATATTACTTATCATAACAACTAGAAATTCAAATATTAATAATATGAATTAAATTCTGCCTTTTGAGTGAAAGCCACTTCAAAGCAATTGCTTAGGCTCAGCAACTGGCAAGGAATTAAAGCCAAATGTGGAAATCAATGAAGCTAACATCACAATTAAACATGCCAAAAAGGTCACAGTTATGATACATGTAATGATTCACAATGAACCAGTTTTTTAACATGCAAGCAGAAATAGTGTTATTCTTTACTGATCTTAACTGTGAGAGAGAAAAGCCACCACTGATGGTTACCAAAATCGACAATGACATTTCTCTAAGGCTAGGTTTTATTAATTACATATTAAATATTAAATTGAATATGTATTTCATGAATAAATACAACTAAAAAATATCAAAAAAACTGCCTAGTTATCTGCAAGAACACTAAAATATAAGTTTAAATTGAATTTTGTCAATTTCTTTTTACTCTCCAAAGTATAACTCTATAATAACAATGAAACTATAATGACACCCACCTGTGAACCCTTTGATCACACCTTAAGACAATGAGAGGATCTATCATCAGGTCATTCTGAGTATACTTTTGTTGTCGTACAAACTTTATTGAAGGTTGAAGTGCATTAACTGTCATTACCCACAGCCTGATTAGAAAATAATCACATGTTCAAACAGCTATATTATAATTGAAATCTGTAGCCATCCAATATTTTCTACCTTAGAAAGTTATATTCAGGAAAAAGAAAACATATGTGAATGAACTTTGAAAAATTAAAAACTATAGACATCTAACCTCTTACTATGTCTCTAAAACAAATAAAGATAAAACAGTAAACACACAGTAGTCTCAAAATTTTCATAGTTATAATAGAATAATCATGGCATATAAAATAAAACTCGAATTAAAACCTCAGTTATACCATACTTGCTATATAATTCTGTATAAATCACTAAGGCTCTGTTTCCTTATCTGTAAAATAGGAATAATACCTATAAATAATACTTACCAAAACACTTTGAAACTGTATCTGGCCCTATAAATATAAGCCATTACTCTATATTAACCATCATAAAGTCTGGATGTGAGATGCCACTTTGAGATTAGACATTAATAGACTATCAAAGTGGTTACTAATCTGACTTCACATTGTAATCACTGAGGGATATTCCAATGGGGAGGGTACTTGATCTCTTACAGTGAAGTCTAGGAGTCCCCAGCCCCACCTACCACATAGAACTTCCCCATCTTAAATATGAGTGGACAAAGAAGGATCATCAGACATTTGAAGAAAGCGTTTACTTTGAAAAAGAACAAAATATACAAACAGAAAAAAAGGAACTCCAAAGAAACAAAATGTAGGGATAACAAGAAAATTTTTTTAAAAAACTATTAATATCCCTAAAGAATAAAATATTTAATACGTGAAACAAGAACAAGAGGCATTTAAAAATATTAAGAAAAAGCTCTTAGTAATTAAGAATATAACAAATTTAAAACTTCAAAGGAGAGGTCAGAAGATAACATTGAGTAAATATCCAAAAAGTATATTCAAAAGACACATTTAAAAAAAAGAGGAGAAAAAAATGAGAAAATAAGAGAATAAGTCCAAGAGCTTCAAAATTCAAATTACAAAAAATTTCAGAAAACAGAAGGGAATTATTGAAGAAAGAAAATGTCTTAGAAATGAAGGCATTACTATACAGACAAAAAAGGCCAACCAAGTGTCCAGCACCATGAATGAAAAAAGACCTCCAAATACTTCATCATGAAATTCCAGAGAGTTAAAAAAAAAAAAAACCTAAAATCTTTTAAGAGAGAAAAAACAATGGTCACATACAAAGGGTTAGAAATTGGTATAACATCAGATTATTAATAGCAATAATGGAAACTCTAATTCAGTAGAACAATGCCTTCAAATATCTGAGAGCAAAAATGAACTAGAACGCTACACTTAGGTTAAATATATCAATCACATGTGAGAAGAATAAAAACCTTTCACGCATGCAAAGTCTCAAAAAAATAAAGTTTTTCACATTCCCTTTCTCAGGAAGTAACTTAGGGAATGTTCCACTCACTAAAATTAAGCCATAAACTAAGAAAATGAAAAACATAGAAGCCAACAAAGAAGAGAGACAACAGCAATTCTAGTACGGCAATTGTGTATGTCCCAGATGGGAACATGAAGATGGAAAGCTCTGAAAGGAAATGTCTCTAAAAAAATTGTTACTGATATATTACCTGATGTATTATGACTAACTGTAAAGTAATATTTCCCCTCAATAATGAAGTTTGGAGATATTAGTTATTAGTTGCTGATACCAAAACAACAACAAAAAACCCCAGCAAACAGAAAAAAGGCAAGTATTACTAACTGAGGGTATGTGTTCAGTGTGAGGGAGGGCACTTGTATAAGAAAGAAATTGTAATCAAAGGCTATCACATAGCTCAACTATAAATATCACTTCTGTATTAATAATAATATGTACACTAAATACTGCTTTAACTAAAAATTTTGATATACCTGTGTAGGGAGAAATAGGGGGAGGGGAAATGTGTTTTGGAGGAAGTGAGACTCAACAGTAGAAAAAGCAGGTAGAGCACTAAACCTTCATCTTGTATAGTAGGAAGTCAACAGATAATTTGTAAATTGGAAAATCAGGAAATCACCGTTATTATAAGCATATTATTGGTATATATTGGGGGGATATAAATGCCAAAATAAAAAGACAAAAGAGCTGAATACAGTTGTCTCTGGGAAATTAGGGTTTAAAATAGAAAAGTATGAGGCAAACCTTATATACTATTTAGCTTCTTAAGTTATGTGCATTTATTAATTTGACATAAGTAAAAATTAAATTTCAAAAGTATATATATTCCCAGACCCCAACCCAGACCTACTGAATCAAAATCTCAACTAAGTTAGGTCTCCAGTATTGTATTTTAGAGCTGGCCAGGTGTTACTGATGCAATCTATGAACAGTAGAGACCCACTGACTAAAGACAAACTAAGTAACCCAGTGTCCTCCAAACTTTGCTGCATTTTGGAATCACCTGGGGAACCTTTTAAAAAGTATTGATGCCTGACTCCCACCCACAGACATTGATTTAATTGGTATAGGTTACAACCTGGAGATCAGGAGTTTTAAAAGCTCTCCAGGTAATCTTAATATGCAGCAAAATTTGGAACCACAGCAATGACACAAAACATGATAGTGATCTAAATCATAATTAGCCATAAATAACTATACATGAGAATCTTTTTTTTTTTTTCCAGACAGGGTGTCACTCTGTTGCCCAAGCTAGAGTGCAATGGTGTCATCATAGTTTACTGCAACCTCAAACTCCTAGTCTCAAGTAATCCTCCTGCCTCAGCCTTCCAAGTATCTGGGACTGCAGGTGCGTGCCATCATGCCAGGCTAATTTTTTAACTTTTTTGTAGAGGCGAGGTCTTGCTATGTTGCCCAGGCTGGTCTTGAACTCCTGGCCTCAAGCAATCCTCCCGCCTTGGCTTCCCAAAGTGCTGGGATTACAGGCATGAGCCACCACACCTAGCTCAGAACTCACTTTTAAAGAACTTCCTCAAGTTAGAAATACATCATGGTTTCTCTCTATTTCTTAAGACAAAGTTCATTCTTCTCCTTAAAGTTATAACAACTCTAATTAGTAGTCTTCAGAAAAGAGTTCTATTGTCACATACTCAACAAATACTGACATAAGTGGTCTTGTGAAAATTTTTTGCAACAATTAAGTTTAGGTTATTTTATCTTATCACTGCTATACATTTATCTATTATGTAACAATACACTGAATTTACCTTCTAGGCATCACAGTATTAAGAACCATCCATAGTTTATTGACTGTTTGAAGAATTCTCCGTGGAACACCTGAATTCAATAGCTGGCTCATATTGGATATTAATACATCTGCATATGGTATTAGTTCACTGGCTGACAGTAGAGTCAAGTGTTCTATAATCTGCATCACTTGTGTGTGACTTACTGGAACAGCTGAAAATGCTAAAAAGAAAATTAAGCAGTCGTAATCTAAATTCTCTACAGTTTACCAGGCAGGAAGTAATACTGCTCTCTCAGACTATAGGCCAAACAAATCAAGAAAATAATGTTGCTAGAAAGTAAAACTTTCAATCTTAGCTATAGTTTTGACTAACCTTAAAATAAAGGCCTTAAGAAAAATTCATGGAAGTGCAGTTGTTTCATAAAGAAGAAATATTTCATTTTTAAAATCACATTAGTTGTACAACACTTCTTTAAACAAGTACTATTCTGGAAAAGTATATTGGCTTTGTTAGGATTGAAGTTCATTAACCACAATGTAATCATTCCTCCTATTACTGAAGTCAGACTGGAACCACTAAAGATCCAAACCTTCTGTGTGGTAATAGAGAGTAAAAATCTAGACATCTTTTACATTGGAAAGCTTCCCTTTTAACATTATTTCAAAATGCAAAATATTTTCTTTCTAGAAGAATATTTATTTTTGTTTTGTTGTATAGCTTTTAATTACATTTCAGAGAAGTATGATTTTGGGTAGATACTACATTTTGAAATGTTTACTACTCTGAAATAAAGATTTAAATGGTGATTATTGGCGTTATGGAAATTTCAGAGAACTAATTTTTAAAACCATTAACTATTTTTGTTTTTTCTTTTCTGACATACTCTGACAAAGAGCAGCAAACCATTACTGTGTGGCATTCTTGGACTCTGCTGTGAACATGCTTTTTAAGAAATTAAAAATGAAGAGGTCATTTTAAAAAAAAGAAAAAAAAAATCACATTAGTGACCCAAAGACTAATCTCATTTTCTTGGTGATTCAGATTGATTTTAAAAACACAGGTGAAAGAGGAAAATATATCAAAGTATTGCTTTTAGTCTCTAACATTCATTTGAAAAGTTCAAATTTCTTGACACTTTCCTCCAAGAGCCCCCTTTATAGGATGTAAGCACCCAGCAGATTGCTATAGTTACTAAAAAATATCTAGAACTCTGTTCTCCAATAAAGTAGTCACTAACCATATCTGGCTATTAAGCATCTAAAATGTAACTAGTCCAAATTGAGATGTGCTGTAAATGTAAATTACACAACAAATTGCAAAAACTTGGGGAGGGGCGTGTGGAGAGTAAAATATTAATAATTTTTACATTTATTACATGATAATATTGAATATATTTGGTTAAATAAAATTATTAAAATTAATATTGCCTGCTTTTTAGTTTTTTAATGTAGCTACTAGAAAGTATATACATGTGGCTTGCACTAATTAATATATTCCTATTTAATTACTATATTTCTATTTAACGGTGCTGACCTAGAACATTTATCCATTAACAACAAGTATATTGCCCTTATTTCTAACCAGTTTAGGACCTTCCTAAAACCACACCACCTTTTTTAGTGATAAAACATAGCACCTATAAGAGAAAAGATACAAGCATGTCAGAAAGAAATGGTTAAAGCTCCTTAAACTCAAACAGAATTACTTAAAATATACTCACCAAAACACTGTTATATCCCCAGGAAAATTCTGCATGATTGTAAGATTTCAGTTAGACTACCATCTCCTTGTACTACAAAAGGGGTAAAAGGAGTAGCAAAGTACTATACCTTCTTGGAGTTGTTTAGGAGAGTGGTTTTTGGCATTATTCGTCAAGAGCATTCGCCTTAACAGGGCATCAGTCCCTGTGATTTCTTCCTCACAGATCCAGTCATCCACAATACATAAATGTGGGTAGTTAGTTGCAAGGAGACGTAGTAAAGCTGAATGCAATCCTTGAAAATTTACAGGAAATCAATTGGATTATCCATTTCAAACATCAGAAGCTTCCCTACCCATCTCATTTTTAGCAAGCCAACAGCCCACAAGGAAAGGTTATGCTCGAAATCAGTGTTTTTCAAAGTATGATTACAGCGCCCCTGGCATCAGAAGCATGGGAAGCTTGTTGCATGTGCAGAATAATGGATGCCATCCCAGATGACTATATCAGAAGCTCTGGAATGGAGCCCTGGGAATTTGTAGTTCTTGTGCATGCATACCACAGTTCAAGAACTTCTATATAGTAGTTTGAGCCAGGGAATCTACTTAAATAAAGATCCCCAAGTAACCTGATACACATTGAGCCAGAACCTACTACTTATATCAAAAGTTCTCAAGCTTTCTTCTATGCCAACCCAACATAACAGTCTCCTATCAGGAAAAGTTACTTGACAAAGCAGTTGTTCAATAGTTTGAGGGGAGAGGAAAGATAAAGAGGGGGAAATAATATCCATTTGGGAAAAATTATTTATGGTTTAAAAAAACCCCACTCAGAAATATTGACAGGCTTCTGTAGAGAACATGCCCTTTCCTCCAATCCCAGTGAGAATCATTGCTATAGATGGGTAAAATTAAAGTTCCTCACTTTGAGTATCTAAAAAGTCTCAGGTTGTTTATATACATTTTCTCATTTCACCCTAAAATTCCTACAAAATGAGCAACAATGTCTCCACTCTACCATAAGGAACCAAACAGGCTGAAAGTCATGTATTAACTATCCCAAAGTCACATAGCTAAGTATGTCAGTGAAGGGAAGCAGTATTGATGATACCCACGATAGGGTGCATTTGTCTTCTTTCAAGAAGGGTGAAGGAAGATCAAAAGAAATGGAAAAACTTTCTTTTACCAAATCAAAGCCTTGCCTATAGCACAGTTTGACTACTTATGACTATTACGTGTAATATTAACAATGAGAAAATCAATGATGACACCATTAAAATGCCTATTTAGGTATATGAAGTACCATTATGCTAACTACTTGACCTAATAAATATTGCTGCTACTACACTATTATTATCATCATCATCAGAGTAATAAGAATAGTAGTAGTAGTAGCAGCAGTAGTAAGAATCAAAGCTTTTTAAATCCAATCAACCCTTTATTATGCAACTTAGATCAAATCATACCACTGCTTAGTCCCAGTGGGGATAGTATCTACTTCCTTTCTCAGAGAAGCAGCTTAAAACTGATGTTGCTATGTTTGAAAACACATTATAACAATGAAAAGTGGCATTATTTTAAAGCTTAAATCTCTAAATGCACATAAGAACATTATGTACAGTTAAAACTATACCCAATACTCATAAAAAAGACTGTTTACAAAAGTACAAATTAATCTACATTTCACACTCTTTTCAATAAATCATGTTAATTGGAAAATGCTACCAAATATAACATTATTTCTTTGAAAGTAAAGTATGCAAAGAAACAAGTAAATAAACGCAGACATCTGGTTAATGATGACTAATGAAAGCTCATGTTTTCCCTTGAATCCAACTATAACAAAGAAAGAAAAAAAAATTTCAACTTCAAGGAAAGAAAAACACCCACATTCAAACATTTTATAGTGTTTAATTAAAAAAAAAATCTAAGTTTTAAAAATACTACTATATTCCTATTTGACAGTATTTATAGTAAAAATATTGCAATATATCCATATTATACAATATTTAAAAACAATAAAGGGCCAGATGCAGTGGCTCACACCTGTAATCCCAGCACTATGGGAGGCCAAGGCAGAAGGATCACTTGAGGCCAGGAGTTTGAGACCAACCTGTGCAACACAGCAAGACCCCATCTCAACAAAAAATGAAAAAATTAGCCGGGCGTGGTAGCACACACCTGTAGTCCTAGCTACTCGGGAAGCTGAGCCAGGAGGATCGCTTGAGCCCGGGAGTTTGAGGTTGCAGTGAGCTGTGATCACGCCACTACACTCCAGCCTGGGGGACAGGGCGAGACTCCGTCTCAAAAAATAAATAAAAACCAATAAGGTAGACCAACATGTACTGATATGAAAAGATGTTCAAGTCTGCAAGAAAAAATAGCATGGGGAGGGGCGTGTGGAGAGTAAAATATTAATAATTTTTACATTTATTACATGATAATATTGAATATATTTGGTTAAATAAAATTATTAAAATTAATATTGCCTGCTTTTTAGTTTTTTAATGTAGCTACTAGAAAGTATATACATGTGGCTTGCACTAATTAATATATTCCTATTTAATTACTATATTTCTATTTAACGGTGCTGACCTAGAACATTTATCCATTAACAACAAGTATATTGCCCTTATTTCTAACCAGTTTAGGACCTTCCTAAAACCACACCACCTTTTTTAGTGATAAAACATAGCACCTATAAGAGAAAAGATACAAGCATGTCAGAAAGAAATGGTTAAAGCTCCTTAAACTCAAACAGAATTACTTAAAATATACTCACCAAAACACTGTTATATCCCCAGGAAAATTCTGCATGATTGTAAGATTTCAGTTAGACTACCATCTCCTTGTACTACAAAAGGGGTAAAAGGAGTAGCAAAGTACTATACCTTCTTGGAGTTGTTTAGGAGAGTGGTTTTTGGCATTATTCGTCAAGAGCATTCGCCTTAACAGGGCATCAGTCCCTGTGATTTCTTCCTCACAGATCCAGTCATCCACAATACATAAATGTGGGTAGTTAGTTGCAAGGAGACGTAGTAAAGCTGAATGCAATCCTTGAAAATTTACAGGAAATCAATTGGATTATCCATTTCAAACATCAGAAGCTTCCCTACCCATCTCATTTTTAGCAAGCCAACAGCCCACAAGGAAAGGTTATGCTCGAAATCAGTGTTTTTCAAAGTATGATTACAGCGCCCCTGGCATCAGAAGCATGGGAAGCTTGTTGCATGTGCAGAATAATGGATGCCATCCCAGATGACTATATCAGAAGCTCTGGAATGGAGCCCTGGGAATTTGTAGTTCTTGTGCATGCATACCACAGTTCAAGAACTTCTATATAGTAGTTTGAGCCAGGGAATCTACTTAAATAAAGATCCCCAAGTAACCTGATACACATTGAGCCAGAACCTACTACTTATATCAAAAGTTCTCAAGCTTTCTTCTATGCCAACCCAACATAACAGTCTCCTATCAGGAAAAGTTACTTGACAAAGCAGTTGTTCAATAGTTTGAGGGGAGAGGAAAGATAAAGAGGGGGAAATAATATCCATTTGGGAAAAATTATTTATGGTTTAAAAAAACCCCACTCAGAAATATTGACAGGCTTCTGTAGAGAACATGCCCTTTCCTCCAATCCCAGTGAGAATCATTGCTATAGATGGGTAAAATTAAAGTTCCTCACTTTGAGTATCTAAAAAGTCTCAGGTTGTTTATATACATTTTCTCATTTCACCCTAAAATTCCTACAAAATGAGCAACAATGTCTCCACTCTACCATAAGGAACCAAACAGGCTGAAAGTCATGTATTAACTATCCCAAAGTCACATAGCTAAGTATGTCAGTGAAGGGAAGCAGTATTGATGATACCCACGATAGGGTGCATTTGTCTTCTTTCAAGAAGGGTGAAGGAAGATCAAAAGAAATGGAAAAACTTTCTTTTACCAAATCAAAGCCTTGCCTATAGCACAGTTTGACTACTTATGACTATTACGTGTAATATTAACAATGAGAAAATCAATGATGACACCATTAAAATGCCTATTTAGGTATATGAAGTACCATTATGCTAACTACTTGACCTAATAAATATTGCTGCTACTACACTATTATTATCATCATCATCAGAGTAATAAGAATAGTAGTAGTAGTAGCAGCAGTAGTAAGAATCAAAGCTTTTTAAATCCAATCAACCCTTTATTATGCAACTTAGATCAAATCATACCACTGCTTAGTCCCAGTGGGGATAGTATCTACTTCCTTTCTCAGAGAAGCAGCTTAAAACTGATGTTGCTATGTTTGAAAACACATTATAACAATGAAAAGTGGCATTATTTTAAAGCTTAAATCTCTAAATGCACATAAGAACATTATGTACAGTTAAAACTATACCCAATACTCATAAAAAAGACTGTTTACAAAAGTACAAATTAATCTACATTTCACACTCTTTTCAATAAATCATGTTAATTGGAAAATGCTACCAAATATAACATTATTTCTTTGAAAGTAAAGTATGCAAAGAAACAAGTAAATAAACGCAGACATCTGGTTAATGATGACTAATGAAAGCTCATGTTTTCCCTTGAATCCAACTATAACAAAGAAAGAAAAAAAAATTTCAACTTCAAGGAAAGAAAAACACCCACATTCAAACATTTTATAGTGTTTAATTAAAAAAAAAATCTAAGTTTTAAAAATACTACTATATTCCTATTTGACAGTATTTATAGTAAAAATATTGCAATATATCCATATTATACAATATTTAAAAACAATAAAGGGCCAGATGCAGTGGCTCACACCTGTAATCCCAGCACTATGGGAGGCCAAGGCAGAAGGATCACTTGAGGCCAGGAGTTTGAGACCAACCTGTGCAACACAGCAAGACCCCATCTCAACAAAAAATGAAAAAATTAGCCGGGCGTGGTAGCACACACCTGTAGTCCTAGCTACTCGGGAAGCTGAGCCAGGAGGATCGCTTGAGCCCGGGAGTTTGAGGTTGCAGTGAGCTGTGATCACGCCACTACACTCCAGCCTGGGGGACAGGGCGAGACTCCGTCTCAAAAAATAAATAAAAACCAATAAGGTAGACCAACATGTACTGATATGAAAAGATGTTCAAGTCTGCAAGAAAAAATAGCAAGTCTCAGAAGAGGCAGGGTATAACACTAGTCATAGTTTTTTAAAAAATTGTTTTTTTACTTGTGTGTATATCTAATAGGTTCAACCATATGAAATTGCTATTTCTGTAAGTCGAAATTAATTGAATATCTGCAATTAAAATGTCTGAAAAAACACTAAACTGAAAAAAGTTGGGGTTTTGGGGGTGAAGGGTGGTTTACAGTAAGTAAATAACAGATTAGTGAGGAAGGCAAAGAGGAATTTCACTGCAGAATTGTTTAAATTTTTAACACTGAGGGGAGGGTGGTTAATGCCTATACTCTCAGCACTTTAGCAGGCCAAGGCAGGAGGATCGCTTGAGGCCAGGAGTTCAAGATCAGCCTGGGCAACATATCGAGATTCCAGTTCCACGAAAGAAAAAAATATATATATATAAAAGTTAGCTGGGTGTGGTGGCATG